GCCGCCGAGGCGGGGGCCGGGCCGGTACCGGGCCCAGCCGCGCGCGCGCGGCGCCGCCGCCTCGGTAGTCGTTATTACGTCATCAAAGCGCGCATTAAATCGATCCCTTTTCAATCCGCGGCCGGGCCGCGCCCCGGCGACGCTCGCGCCCCCGGCGTGGGCAGGAGGTTCCGCYCGGTACTTACGGCGAGGGGCCGCCCGCCCCTCCGCGCCGGCTCCGCCGCGGCCGCTTCCTGCTCCCCGGCACGCCGAGAAGCGGGGCGGGCGCCGGCCAATCGCGACTCGCATTCCCGGCCTGCCTCGCGTGGCGGAAGTGACGCATGCGTCACCTTTAACGCAACAGGACGCGCGGGCGCCGCGGGGGCGGGGTTGGCCGGCCCGGTGCATGCTGGGAGTTGTAGTCGAGGGGGGCGGCCAGCGACGTGCGGCCGTTGGGGGCGGCCGTTGGGGGCGGGCGCAGCGGCGCCATTCCCTGGGTCCCCCGGCGGGACGGGCGCCGGCTGCGTCGCCGTTTGAGGACGGCGGCGCCGGGGAGGTGGCGGCTGCCCCGTGTGTTCCTCCCCGGGCAGGGCCGGCTGCAGAACATGAAAGAAAAACGCAATTAAATGCATTATTAAAATATGGCTGAAAGCTGTCATTTCCCCCTCCCCCGGCCCTCAAGCCCGGGCTTTCATCAGCTTCAGGAGGAACCAGCAAGTCTGTACAAATCACCACTTGTCATCACAGAGGCTGTGATATTTGGCCGCCTTTAGCATAAAATGAGAAGAAACCCAACCTGTACGTGCATGCGTTTTGACTGCTAATGCCAAATGCTTCAGTTTGCCCTGCCAGACACGCTGTGGGCAGCCCTTGGCGCTGTTCCTCGCCAGCGAGAGCGTTAGGTGGTGGGATCGGCCGCTGCGCCCTGCAGAGGAGGCTGCGGCAGGGCCAGGAAGCGGCTAAGCCTCTGGCCTCACAAACATGAATCAACGCTCGCGTGMTCCTCCTCTGCGGCTCCTACTCCTCACCGGACCAACCCTCCTCAATGAAGCAATCTTTCTATATAAATATGTCAGACAGACACGCCATGCAGTTTTAGTTCTATAATTAAATGGCATTGAAAGTGAGTATCGTTAAGTGGTGTCAGAAACGCCAGCGCTGAACACCATGGCCAGCAGCAATGTTTTGCCCAGCAGTCTGCAGTGTGCTCTCCTGGTCTGGCTCTGTCCCGCGCAGCTCCAGCTTCCCACAACTCATCCATTATGCCAAGAAAGAAGAAAAGAGCTGAGCTGCAACTAGAAACYGTGGGACGAAGGAAAAAGCTGAGCGGCATCTGGAAACTGCGACAGATCTGCAGGCTTGTTTGGCCTCGCGAAAGCAGCGAGTCACTAGTACTGATGATAACAGCCCCTCCAGGGCCGTGTCAAATGTTGGTCACACAAAATCAGGATTTTTCTTCCAGGCAACCAATCTTCCAGCACATCTGTAGTTGCCAAGGACTTCTTTTATTGTCACCAAATTTATTTGTCTTACTTATAATAACTTAATGTGCCAAAACCAACACAATAATCATCCCTGAGAGCCATTACTTTATATCAATCATAACCATAAAGGAGCTGTATGCAATGGCTATATGTACTTATGAGCTTGCCTATATAATTGCTGTTAATGAACTTGTTTTATGAACCGTCTCAGAACTGAGCCCTAGCGCCAGATCTGCRTGATTTTCTTCATGCTGTTCCTGCCCCATTAGAAGAACAAACGCCTATGAAGCTGATGCAGCAGTTCAGCACAGAAATCCTACAGCACCAAATCAAATAAAACATCAGTCAAGTTCATATTAATGTTTTTATATTGTTTTTATAATACATAAATTCCTATCTGTTTAGTGTTTTATCATACAGTAATACAGATTGCCAGTTTTATCAGTGCTGATGGCATGTAATATAAAGAGGTTTAAAGTCTCCCTTATTTTGTCATGTTATTGCATAATGAACTGCTTTTTTTTTTTTTTATTATTATTTTATTAGCAGGTCTGTTTTAGACTATTGGGTCCAGGAGCTGTCACACCATTTTGCTTGTCTGGTATGTGGGAGCCCATTAGAAATGTTGATACCTTGGTTAAAGGTTTACTTTCAATCATCACGAGTCTCTTTTTCAGCTGCAGTATACTTTTTCCTAATAAAATACTTTTTCCTTTTCCACAGGCACCTCACCTTTGCTCTAGAGAAATCTATATTCATTAAGATAACCTGATAAAACTTTTGGACACAACATTCAGCTTAGAATAATGGCAAGCATAGGAAGAAGTGTTTCCTTCCAGCTATGAGCTTTTCACAGCAGTGCTCAAGAAGTCAGGGAACATCCAAGCAGCTGAGTGTTTGCAGCCTCTCCCAGGCAGGGGCATCGAACAGCAGAGAGAGCAAAATGAATACTAAAGCAATCACAGAAATGTGTGACGTACTCATTTCCCTTCTTTAATAAAAGATGAAAATATATAAAGATAAAAAATATAAAGTTGTGTAAAATTCATGTGAAACCAAATACTAAGAAAATCTGCTTCAGATTTTAAGCGAGGCCGAAAGAGATCCTGGGACTCCAGCCGAGGGCTGTGGCCGAGCAGCCCGGTCCTGGGCCCGGCTCCTGAGGGCTCTGCAGCGCAGGCTGCTGCGTGCCCGGGCGCTCATCCCCACACCCTGCCCCTCCTCTGCAGTGACTCATTGACCCACAGAGGTGCAGGGCCCCTCWCGGGGCCTTTTCTGGCCTCTCCTACAGAAGGAGTCTTGCAAAAGCAGCTCCCCATTCCTGCAGGGATGGCATGGTTTGTGAGAACTCCTTCCTGTACGAGAAGGCTCAAGGTGTCTCCGCGGTGCAGTGGCTCCCGCAGTCACTCCTGCAGCGGGCCAGGCGTTGGCTGTTGTGCAAGAGAAGACCCTTTCTGCAGGGCCCCGTGGCAGCTATACACACTGAAGCAATGCTGGGGGCTGCTTAGGCTTTTTCAAGAAAGAATAAGGAGGGTTGTGCCTCAGGCAGTGGGATACAGAACCACTTTATCAATTCTCCTCATCCTGTAAGTACTTCAAAAGAAAAGAGAGATATCAGAAGGTAATGACAGTGAAGACAATAGTGGTAAATATAAAATTCGGTGCTTGGAAACTGTCATGTGCTAAACTCTGAATTGTCAGAAATCCTCAAATGGTTCATCTGCAAGACAAAGATATCAGCTTGTTCCTTGGTTATCTTCATGCTCCTGGAGGAAGTGCTCGGCTAGCACGGGATGTGCATTTCTGTTTACTCAGTATTTTCTGCTGCCCTAAAACCTCCAGACCAGATCTCATCTCCAGTGGAAAAACCTCTGGAAAAAGAAACAAGGCTAAGAAATTAAGGGCTTATAAGTTTCAGAAACTCTATTGATTTGGATTCTGTAGAGTCACTAGATGCATGCCTAGAATAACTGTATGATGACTTAGTGCTTAAATAAAAGTGTTTAAGTACTTAAGAGCAGTTTTTCTTTTTATCATAGAATGTAAAACCAGCAGACCTTGGCTAGGTCAGTATTTGTCTGGGAAACCTCTTAGGGAGTTTTTATATAAAAGGGGTACATGGATTTACTGTATTATTTGCTGCAGTAAATAGAGGTAGAAAAGATTTTGGCCAATTCCAGTGTCAGTTCTGCTCTTCCATGTATTATATATGCAGAAACATTAACAGTTCATTTAAAATCCCTTCTTCTTTCAGACCCTATCATCTTAACCAGAAAGCTGTAGATCTTTAGACTATATTATTGCTGAGAAGACGTAATGTCTGACTGATACATTCTTAAAATATTCATCATAGATGGAAGTTTACTCTGGAACCTTGAGACCATGATCAGCAATGCTCCGTATGCCATTAGATAATATTAAGAGCAATAAAAACTGGGAAAGCAAGCAATTTAGAAATAATCATTCCCAGTATCTAGGGGAAGGTCTTTTTCCTTCAGGAGCTTTGTTTTTCCTACCAGACAGCCTTCCATCCATGCAAGCCCATGCGTGCTACRTGGCTACCTACCCTTGTGCTGTCCAAAAGGGATCTGGATGAAGTGGCCTCCATGGCCCAGGTGCTTTGGAAAGAGCCCCTGGCCTCTGTCCATCCTGTCATTTAGGTCTCCAGGAGCATCTTCACATGCTACCCACACTGTAAACCTCAAATTGGTGCTAGGAAGTGCCTTGGCCTGAAGCACTGAGGGCACAGTGATTTGCT